TTCTACCGAGAATTGGACTTGGGATCTTCTGTTTTAACAGTCAATCTCGTTTGGCATTCAGCCAACTCTACGGAACCGAATCTACCTTAAAATTTAACCAAATTCGCACAAAGATAGAAGTCTAAATGCTATTTTGCCACTCACCAGCGGCTTCAGAATACATATTATGAAGTTTTAACATGAAGTTGTAGCCAGTGAGCGCATCACTCCATGATAGAATAGGTACTTCTTCTCTGAAGCATCGCTGTAACTCTATACTGCTAATTGACACAAATGAGGTTTCACGGGTCATTGATTTCCATGCAAGTGGCTTAGCTGTCAGCAGACTCTTGAGGCCTATATAACATGGTTTCGATTGCTGGCTGTGTGATGGGAATGCACAGCTGAAGTATCCTGAACTTGGATGAAAAAATTAAAACTTAGAATTTCACTCTGAAATATTTATGAATGAATATTCTGGTTCTTCAACTAGAAAATATGAGGGACCTTGATAGGAGATGGATTCCCACCTAGATTCATAGACAAGAATTGAAAACCAAAGAAAAAGCTTGCAAAGATACAAGTCGCCCCTAAAGAGATGCTGATACTTAATCTCGAATTTAAAAGTGATACCTAAGTAAAACTTATCTGTAGACGGCTTCCGAAGTCTCTCAGAATAACATACTTCTCTATTATTTCAAAATATACTTCGCCACCAGCCGAAGATTGACATTTTCTTGCAAGAAACTATACAACCAACACTTGAAAGACAAGCATATAGTAATTCACTTGCTCAAGTGGAGTCGAGTACATTGGTAGTATAATATGTCCGATTTTAAAACGCGTCCAGGAACATTATCCAACGCGGTTATCAAAGAGAGAACGTAAGGGTGTATGCACTTCGGTAACAGAACATTTGGTGAATTTACGACATTCAGCTCTATTTTAAAAATCCTTCAAGGTCATATACAAGAGCCAGTCAAACCTTTCAAAGGGAGTAAAATCAAGAAATCTTGGAATAGATCCAAAAACTCAAGCCTACTGTATGTATCCAAAAGAAATACATCCAGTCATTATCCCTACCATGGTCATCATGAAAAGTCAGTCGCACCAATATTGATTATCTAATTACCTTTCTTACCCAACCTTCCCGTTTTTCCTCTTATATTTACGTTCCTAATTTCTCTCTACATTACTAGATTTGGTTAGTGTTTTTATTTTTTTTTTTATATATGTCCGAACTTCCTAACCATTTAATAATAATAATAATAATAGTGATTTACTTTATTCCAAAAACAGTACTTGTGATACAGATTGGAATTTTCAGCATTAATCACAATATTGCATCTAATTTCCTCAAATTATAAATAAAAATTAATCACACAGAAAAATTTCCACATTTACAATAGAGGTAGTGTCAAAAACATGCAGCATATAAAATGGAAATAGCAATAATAATGATAACAGCTAGGGTAGTAATAATAATAATAATACAAGTGAAAATTGCCGTTGGCTTGTGTCACACAGTATTGGCAATGTGGTATAGAAATCCTGACATGTTTAAAAATATTGAATATAATGTTCCCTTTACATGATATAGTGAGGGGAAAAACAAAGATTACAGCCGTCATAGGGATAAGTTGGTGTTTGCAATTATGAGAGTGAAACAGAGAATTAACAGGACCATAAATATAATAGAAGTAATAAAAGGAAAACTTGAAGGTATGTAAGGATGGATGGAGGAAATTGTTTATTTACTAGATGAAAAAAGGTTAGTTAATTCTTTCCTGACACTATTTTCATCACATAAAATAGGTGCCAAGTATGGTATCATAGAATTCTTATACTTAGACGTGCGAGCATACAGTTTTCTGAAGTTACTCCTTGTTCTACCTGAGGAGATGCAAGGTGAAAGCTGAGGGTAAAGCGGATGCTCCAAGTCAGACAAAATCCCTTTAGCTAATTTATTGCACGAAGTCAAATGCCTATCGACAGCGACGTTAACTATGTGGTCCACTGGGACACCACTCACCCTACTGACAGTCTTCAGTATTCTACGAATTGTGACATAGTCTTTTTTAAGCAAACCAGGAAAGAATAAGAGTGAACAATAAAGAAGAATAGGTAGGATGCAAGAGTTTATGAACTGTAAGAGGAGGGGTTGAGTTATACCCGAGTGTCTTAACTTCTTAATGTAAAATGTCAAGCGGAATATTTTACTGAAGATTGCTAAGACATGGGAAGACCAGGAGAGATCAGAAGAGAGAATGAGTCCAAGATACTTAATTCCTGATTTGATTCCTATATCATTGTCGTCAGTTTTACAAGTGTCATGAGAGTCGATGACTTCTTTTAACTGTTGTTTACATCTTAAGCTGAATTCAACAGTTTGACACTTAGAAGGATTCAGTTTAAGACCGTTAGACTCAGACCATTTGCTGACTTCCGATAGAAAGCTATTACTACGTCTTTAATCCGTAATCTATACAAACTCAAGTTTTTCAGTAATGATGACCTTATATGTCTTTTCTACCCTATCTTCCTATTTATTACATTTGGTAATTTAATTAATTTAATTTTTGACCGGAAATAATTCTGCAACTTTCTCACACACACTTACTATAAATACACGAATGTACAGCCTCCTAGTTGACGATGATTTTGTCGAAAAGAAAATTTTCTTCTCTGCAACCGTCTTTTTAGTAATATAAGGTTTGTAAGTGTCAGTTTATTTAACTGTTAAGGAAACGATATTTTCATTTCTGATAGATGCATATTGCTGCATAATTTTCGCAGTCATCAATTTCCAGGTCTTTGAAGTGTTAAAATATCGTCAGGAAGATGAAGAGAATCATTTCACCTAAGTATACCTAGAGACAAGTAATTAATAGGTCATGTTGTTTATGATGCCCACGAACCAGAATTGAGTCTTCTGGAAGAAACCATCATCCTCTAATGGATACACATCAAGATTCATCGACAAGAATATGAAACCAAAGATACAGAGGAACGATACATCACTTTGTCTCAAAAAAGATACTTTACATGGATCCGAATCTCAAGGAAGACTTAGCTTGTGATGTCCTCAAGAAAGGAATTTTAGCATCTTTGAAAGGAACAGCGTCGGTGGCATAGCGGTTAGGACGCTCGCTGACCATGCACATGGTCCAGGGTTCGATCCCCAGTCGACGTACTCCTTTACCTCACTAAGCCAGAAATAATGCTGGTAAAGAGGTAAGGTTCGGCATGAGACAGGCTACCAACCCCATCCTGTAAAATAAACACTGCTACAGAAACTTCAAGCCATTAGCTTGAAGCCCGATGTTCCATTGGGGAACGTGAAGGAAACATTCTTCACAGTAACGCGAAGAGTAGTATTCTCCAGTTATCCATTGACCTGCGGTAGCTTTAAGGACAAGATCCTGCATTTGGCCACTTCTGTGTGCATATATCACTTCGCCTGTTGCTGTGTGGCCAGCCAGGTACGTTGGTCGTTCGATGCGTTTCCTGTCCCAAAGGGTTCGAGTACACTATACCTACTTAGCTGAAAAAAAGTAATGGTGGCTGTTTAAAGAGTGTGGTAATCGAACATCATGTCAACACTGGTCATTCCGTCTCAGCAGACGCCTCCTCTGAAGTACACTTTCGTCTCCTTTGCATTGTTGAGGCGTTAGTCATTCACTTGGAGAAACCAAAGCTCTGCATACAAACAAATCGTCCAACCACTTCCACTGTCATGCTAACCACAGTGTTGACTTCTACTGACTTGATTCTTTATTGTTTGTTTTCTAACTCCCTAATAACTCTTGTACTTCATTAGAACTTTTGTATAATTCCATATTATTTAAAACTCATTCATCTAACACTTATTCAAGTATTGATTTGTAGGGATTTGATTGATTGGTTACAGGATTTCATCATGCGCTGACATCAGTTAGAGAACCATTGGGAAGCCAGCGGTTTGGGACTTTTCAGCAGTACGCATTCACCGACAGGAGTACAACCTAGGAACTTCTGGTTACAAGGCCAGTGAGCTCGTAGACCATTAAGCTACTGGGACCTCACTAGAACCCAAAGTAACTACTTACCTGAATAGCACAAGTCGTGACCAGTAGGGTGCAGCAGGTTAAGTTTGAGAACAAATACTTTCCGAAGACATTGGCTAGCGGTCACGCTATGTCTTGAATAGGCAGAGGTTAGAATTCATGGGCCATTGGACCGGGTGCCAGTAGTTTATTGGTCTACGGGTTCACTGGCCTTGTAACCAAGAGGTCCTGGGTTCTAACTCTGTTGGTGAATGCGTACCGTTGAAGAGTCCCAAATGGAGACAAAACAACTGTCCAGTATTCCCAGCTAGTTTTCCAATGATTCTCTAACCAATGTCAGCTCATGATGAAATCCTGTATTCATCTTACAATTGGTCAACCACTATTATACACAAATCGACATTATCAGTTATGATTATGACAAGTGATCACTTTTGTTACTCCCCTCTTTCGTGGGGGCAAATGTATGTAAATACGACTGTACAGCTAAAGAGAAAAATAAAAATCGCAGAAGAAAGTCTCTTCACTGAACTGCATGTTTTGTTTTCACTAATGTCTGAATGGAGATTATTCATGAAACGTTTATGAGTTCTTTGCTAAAAAAACTGCTGTAATGGTTAAACATCTCTGTCATCTGTTTGAATTCATCAATGTACTTCATTGTTCATTGACAACATGTACTACTGATTAAAATTAGTAGTAGTACTTGCTAGCTAGTTTGATGTGGTTTGCACACTGAATAGTCATTTTACTTGTTTTCAAACTGCCCCACTAGCGGTGTCTTCTACTCAGGAAACAGAATCATATGAAACCATCTGAGTCCCGGTGAACAAATCACCTCTCATGATCTGAATACGTTTGCTTTGATGATTGGGAAACTATGGAGAATTTATGTCTCAAAATTGTAAAGTTTGCAGTTTATAAATTTGATTATTCACCGTTTTTTCCACTATTCTATTTTTCATTCGTATTTAGATTTTAAGAAATCATGTTATGGTGAGAGTCGGTGGTGGTTGGGATACATTGAGTCATTTCCTTTCTAAATACGATGAATGTCGGAAAGTGAATCCGGGTGAGTTTATCTTGAAATGATTTAATAATCTTAAATATTTCATTAAGAAGAGTTTAAAAAATGTTATTTTTAACTGTTAACACATTCTAAATCATGTGCCTGCAGCTGAAACAAAATGTTTTATCCTTTATCCGTGGGATTGGTCAGATGGGTCTAGTCAACTATCCTATCTTATGTCTAGAGAAATGAGAAGTTTGGGCATAAGAATGGCAGTCTCATTCCTTATAAAATACCCCTCATCTCTGTGAAACGACTTCAAAACTATAGGTAATATACATGAATAGGAACCTCACTAAAAGAATACGAATCACACTCTTTCAAAACCAAAGAAGAAATAGCGATTCATATGTTAAATGCGGAACTCTGCATACAAAAGAGGAAGTTTGTTTAGTTATTAAATCTATAGTGGATATGATCTCTCTTAACACCAAATACATATTTCTGTTTTTTGTTTCGTAGTTGTATTATTGCACGGTTTCTACACTGTTCGGTAAAAAAGAGCCTTAGTTATGTGCTTTTTCAGTAAAACTCAATGAATATGCACCGACGATGCACTTGTAACAACAGAAGACAAGGGCCAGGCAACAGATCATTTTTTTTACGGAAATCAGCACGTATTTATATATATTTCCTGTACATTATTAGAGCTTATTCGAGTAGACAAACGCAGTCTTGTGATTGGTTGTTTCTCGGAAGTTAAGCAGACGAACTCAGTCTTCTGATTGATTGTTTTCGGGTTTCTCGGAAAGTAGAGCCATCTATCTGCGAATCATATTTGCTTACGTTTAAGTCTGCTGTGATTGGTTGTTGAATCAGCCTTGTTCATATTTTCTCACGGCCAATATTAATGACCTAGACATTGACGTCTACCAATTGGCTAGCAGCCTGCTCTCACCACACACTTGATGGGGAGGAAATAAAGTCGATGTAATCTCTGGTTGATAATAATCATCCAGACAACTTCATAAGTAGATACAGAGTAGTCAGAAGACCAAGACAAACTCTCCAACTCACCCCTAAGAAAGACGTGTACATCAAGCTACGTTATATGGAACATCATAGCAGCTTGATAACTAGACAGAGATTGAATGCTGCGGTTAAAAAGATTTTATATACAGCTAAGATCATAATAATTTAGAATATGAAGCCAGTATATTCATCTAAGCCCTTTGAACATGCGAAAACTGACGTGACATCCGACTGTATTTACCAATTTGAATGAACGTGCTGACACACATACATAGTTAGGACTCATCGCTCTCTGCAAGTAAAGGCTGGCTATATCGCATAGTCCTTAATGGATTCAGACGAAAACAGAATCCTCAGAACCCATAAGCGGTGAGGATAGAAGAACTAGCTCCTCTATTGCAAAACATATTATAGAGACAGGACATGAAATTGATGTTGCCATACGTCTTTTAAACCTATCTATAGAACGTGTTTTGGGACGGGTATCCTAAAGATTGTGGAAGCCCTAACAATTATATAGTTGAAACCACTTTTATGCATTCAAAGTAATAATTCGTTATCACACTAAACCATCCTCCCTGTTCATACTTTGTTTTGATACCAGCTAGGGTAGATGTACTATTACCTCTGTTATTTGGTTGAGTGATCTTCATTGTTATTTTTACCTTTAATATGTCCTTTTAACTTAACCTAACTTGTCTGTATTCTCACTTCTTAACTCTTTATTAATTTCACGAATATATTTCTTTCAAAAGCCCGTGTGTAATCAGATTGTTCAAAATGTTTTGTGTGAATAATACGTTACAATATTCAGAGAAATTACATCTTCTTATTGCTTTGTGTAAATTCATGAAGGTAGCTATTCATTTGTTTTCCCAGTTTGACAACGGATCGATATCAGTTGGAGAACCATTCAAAGCCAGTTCTTGAGTACTGAGCAGCCAGGTGTTCCATTCTAGTTTTGGACTCTTTAGAAGTACGAACTCACCACAGGGATTCGAAACCAGGACCCTCCGGTTACAAGGGGAGCTCGTGTAACATTCAGCCACTGGGACCCGATTCGATAGCCAGCCCATGAATTCTAACTTCTACTAATTCGTATTGCTAATGATTCCCCAACTAGGATGAAACAACTGGTTGTCTAATACTCCAGTGTTGGTTTGCAATGGTTCTCTAACTGATGTTAATCCGTGGTCAAACGCGTAGAAATAAATCAAATCGTTACAAATCAACTCTTGAAAATTCTTCCCGTCGCTGACAAAATTTACCATACATATGGGCGATTGTACAGTTTTAGAATGATGCCGCTCAAAAGAGGAGTAGCTCTTCGGTGAACGCCTTTTCTTTTATACATGAGTTAACTTAGAAAAATGACAAAAACATTTTCACTGATTAAAAATGCCCATTAAAATTTTTCAGAAGAATGGATACTAAACAACGAATACTCTATTCGGTAACCCCTTCCTCATCAGGTTCTACAGTTATACATACACATTATAGTGAATGAATGAATGAACTAGTGTTATGAACAACATTATTGTCGTTGTTTAAATAACACCGAATCGATAATAATAATATCAATGGATTACACTTCGATGGCATTAACATAAAATAAGCTGAATGTCAGAAATATTAGGAAAGATAATATTACAAATTCCTGAATTTATAGTCTCTACTGAAGTCCAGGGCAGTAGTAGTGACTGGACTAGTAGCTTCTTTTGAACACAAAGCGCTGGTTATCTGAGGTGAATTGCAATAGCGTCTGCTGTTTGGAGCATGCGGTGCTTTGATGATTTTGGCGACTTATTAGGCACCCGGTAAATGATAGAGAAGGATTCTTTAACGCTGGCTGGCTTTGTGGCTGGTTTGCACTAGATTGTCCAATATTGAACTATTGATGGTTTTCACTACACCTTTACTTAGCCATAGTGGGGAGGTTCTAGAGCGCAATGGCCAAAATAACTCGCTCCACAACGAGCGCAGTTGAACTGGTAAATACAATTAGAAGTGGCTGGTTTAGGTAAGTCATCTTTCAGTTGAGGAATCACCATCGGTCGTGTAGGGAATAAGCATTAAAAGTACTTTGAACTGATTTTCTTAATTTCTTCGTAATGATTTCACTTGGTATGTTGCCCTCCATTTGCATAAAATAGGTACTTGGATAGGACAATATACACATTTTCACAGCTTCGTTCCTCTCAGGGACAAAATAAATTTAGTGAAGACCCTCAGCCACAGAGTTAGTTAGAGCTATATCCTCAGAAGAAGTACTTGAAGATAAATTAGGCATTGTATATGTTACTTTGATCATAAATAGTTATTCCGACAAATTTATCAAAAAACACATGACAAAGAAAGAGGAAAAGGACTACTTACTATCTGTAAACAAGAGGCCTCTTTATATATGACTACAATTCATGGGCGATATACCAAGCGAGATAATTGCGAAGGAATTAAGAAAATCAGTTCAAAGTAGTTTTAATGCTGGTGAACTACACGTATTATTCTCTACACGATCGATGGTGATTCCTAGATTGACAAATGTAGTAACTAAACTAGTCACTTCTAAATGTATCTACCAATTCAACTGTGCTCGTCATGGAGCGGATTATATTGACCGTTCATCCAGGAACTTGATTTTTCGTGCTTGCTCGGGAACATCTACTTGTGTTGTTAAATAAAAGGGTATTGAGAAGCACCAAAATTTGGCCCAAACTGGCGCCAAAATTAATATTGAGCAGTCCTTCTCTATAATCTATTTTGTACTGAATGAATTGCCGAAAACATACAGGTACCGCACACTAGAAACAGTAAAGGCTATTGCGATTCGGATGAAACGACCAGTGCTATGTATGCAGAAGAAGCAAGTCCACCCACTTCCACTGCCCTGGACTTCAGTAGAGACTATAAATTCATAAATTTCTGTTATTATCTTTCCTAATTTTTCTGACATTGAGCTTATTTTATGTTAATGCCATCGAACTGTAATCCGTTGATATTATTATTATTGATTCGATGTTATTTAAACAACATTAATGTTCATCAACTCTGCTATCCAATTCCTAGAGAAAATCAGAGGCATCCAAATAGATGAACAAGAAATAATGGTATCCTTCGACGTGACAGCATTATATACCTCCGTCGGACAAAAACTAGCAAAAGAAACCATGGAGCAATTACTTAGCAACGACGAACAACTTCCACAACAATCAAAAATGCAACACACAAGCTGGATGGAATGCATAAATCTATGCCTAACAACATACTTCCAATTCAACGGCCAAATATATGAACAAGTCAAAGGAACACCCATGGGATCGCCAATATCAGGTTTGATTGCAGAAGCAGTGATGCAAAGACTCGAAAACATAATTCTACCAAAGATCAAACCCAAGATTTGGATACGCTACGTCGACGACACATTTGTAATAATCAAAAGAAACGAATTAGATAAAACTCACAACTTAATAAACAACGTCTTCAACGACATCAAATTCACAAGAGAAGAGGAATCCGAGAACAAAATACCATTTTTGGACGTCTTAGTCAGGCGAACAACTACAGGAGAATTAGAAACTCAAGTTTATAGGAAATCAACTCACACAGACCAAATACTGAATTACAACAGCAACAACCCAATAGCACACAAAAGGAATTGCATACAAACACTATTCAAGAGAGCAAGGACTCACTGCAGCACTCCCACCTTAAGAAAAATTGAAGAAAAGTATCTCATGGACGTCTTCCAAAAGAATGGATATCCCCGGAATTTCATCAAGAGACATATACCCCCAAGCCAACCTACCAAAGCAAAAGCCACCAAGGAAAGCACAAAGAAAATCGCCTTACCATATATAAAGGATATCTCAGAAATCACTACAAAACTCTTCAAACCTTTAGGAATTGACGTCGTACACAAACCAACAAAGTCGCTGCACTCAATTCTATGTCAACCAAAAGACTCAACAGCGAAAGAAGACAAAACCAACATCATCTACAAAATAAACTGTAACAACTGTGAAAAACACTAC